TTTCATTTATATTTTAAACTATTATAATTGATTATTTTTTATTTTTTATTTTTATCTGTTAGTTTTATCAAACATAATTTGTTCATCAATTAATTTATTAGTTACCAGCTAACTTATAAGCTACCGGCTAATTTATTAGTCATCAACTCGCTTATCAGTTAGTTTACTAAATATTACTTTTTATAAATAATTTATAAAAAAATAATTATAAATAATGAAATCATCTTTTTTATTAATTGATTATCCCATTTTTAAATAAGTAAGTAAATGTGCTAATTTTTTATTATTACATTAAAAAGTTATTATCCCCTTTTTTCAATAAAAAGTAAAATAATTGTGTTAAATTTTTTTATTATCGATTTAAAAAGTTATTATCTTATTTTTTAATTAAAAAATAAATAAATGTGTTAAAAAGATTATTAGGGCATATTGTATGAAAAAGTAACTTACAATTTGATTTCTATCTTGGATAACGTATTTTAAAACTTCCATTTTGATATCTAAGATGTAAAGTTATTTAAGTACCCCGGTAATCGTTATCATGTTGATGTGACGAATTATGTGATATTCAACTCAGTATTATTTGCTGACATGGTCAGTGCTATGGATTTTTTAATCTAAAATTAATCTTCGACTGGTTGCTCGGATACTTAAATGTTTAAAACTTTACATCTTAGGTACAAAAATGAAAGTTTTTAAAGTATGTTATTTAAAATAAAAATTAAGTTAAAATACATTATTTTTTCATGAAATTTAAAAAAAAAGATATGAAATATTTTATAGGGAATATATTTTATTTTTATTAGAGAATTAAATAAAAGCTTTAAATTATCAAAATAAAAGGAGCTGATGGAAAGAGAGATTGAAAGGTCCACGTCTCCTTCGTGAGTAGACTTGGAAAGTCTTCCCAAAGTCTTCCCATGTGGTGAAAAGTTTTATGACTTGTTCTTTGTGCATTACACATTGTACCATGTGCTACAACTTTTAAGTTTAAAGATGGTGATTTGTTCCGATCCGGTGAGGAATCCGGCTCATCCAATCTGAACGGGGACGGGGATTCCCTGCTAAAATGCCTAATAGACTCAAACTAACAGATATTCTTCATGGGTTTGGCTGGGTACAGGGATTAACCGCGGCCGGGGATTACAAAACTCGCTCCATCCCCGCCCCGAGAAAGACAAGACTTTCACTACATCTTACATCCATCGGGGCTTAAACAGTAGGCCACAACCCAAGTCGTTAACTTTCACATTTGGTGTAGATTTATACAACAAAAATCGTTTTTAAGATGATTGTTTGTTTTTCCATTTAAATTATGAATGAACTAAACTATCTATCTAGAAACGTTTAGTTACAGAGTTTATTCATCCCCACAACTTCTATGCCATAAAATATAAGCGTAACACTGTTACGACAAGGATTTACGTTATTATTTATTATTTCGTAAAAGACGATTAACAATTTGAAGATAAAACCAAACAACCACATTAGCCAAAAACAATACTAATACACATGAAATTAAAGTGTTCAAGAAGGATTCAAACAACAGACAAGGACCAAAAACCCCTCTGATCATTTCTCGCAAGTTCGGGGGTATATTTTGCATGGGTCGCCATTGCCTTTTGCGTTGTACTTTTTGGCTCCGGTGCAATCTTTATTGCAACTTGTTTTAGCAGGGTCCAAAGCCCCGTTAACGAGAACGTTAGAAAATGACCCAAGAATCCGCCTATGCTCT